ACGGTCACATTTCGCCCGACCGTTACTTCGCGCCCCGAACCTATGGACACATCACTAATGACCTAATTAGGTAGGGAGCGCTGACACACTGAGATGACATTCGCGTATCATCTAATTAACCAGTCGAGATTTACCATCACGCGCCTACGCATCCATACAGCCTTCTTGATTATTATTTGTGTACCTTAATTCGCCTACGGTTATCACCGGTCATCTCTGTGTGCGCACCGCTCGACTCCGGTCTGATCCCAATCAACACCAGCCAGTATTCAGGTCAGACTGTATATATATATATATATTGCATATTTTGTATATTGATTTGCCACTGCTTTTTAGTTATTAATAAATACTTTGTAGCCTGCATAACCTGAGTGTCGACTACCGTTATTTTAGTGTGATCGCCCGTTAAGCTCCTCGGGCGATATAGTAAATTTATAAAGGAGACTTTAGGGTTACTTAGGCGTAAAGCGGACTAGCCAACCGTTTCCCGTCAGGGGCCGTCTACTTTAACCTTATCGACGAGCACTCAGACTAGTTTGGTAAGCTAGTCAAGTAGCGACGTTACAATTTGGTGGAGGCGCCGTTTTCCGTTAGTTTTATTTTTACTCTAGGGGAGAGCCCATTTTTTGAGACTACGGACACGATCCCCAAACAACTACACTAAATATATACGTACTACTCTCAGGTTGTGTGGAGGTTTGTAATTTAGGGTACAAATTGCTTTGGAGAAATAAAAAATAAAAAAAAAAATTATAAGGCGACATATTATACAGCAAATTAATTATTAAATTCATAGCATTGTATACATAATACAGAAAATATTTTATAATAAAATTATTAGTCATATAGGACATTCAGTAACATACTTAAATACAATTCAAGAGTTTATTTTTAGTATACATTTTTATTATTTTGATTAATATGTAACATATGACGCTGTATAATTATTATATTAAAAGGGTTGAAAATAATCAAACGATTCGTATAAATTCGCGATCGTGGGGAATATTAGGTTTTGATCGCAACGTTGATGTCCAAGACATATCGGCATCAGATTTAGTTGAGCATTTTAAACAGGCAAAACAAATTAATACTCTAGAAGCGTTACAAGTTTGTAGGAATATTAAAACTCCATTTGTTAGTGTGCCTATTCATAAATACGACAAGTTTGTTGTGTTAAAAGCCGTTAGTACTGCAAAGTACACTTTATCACAATTTCATAATAGGTCATTAGCTGAAAAAATTAGTTTACTGAAACAAGATAAGAAGGGTTATTTGTATCGGTACTGTACGAAAAACGATCTTATCAATATATTAGCGCAATTAGGAGAAGAAGCGCCAGTATCTTCTCTAATAGGGGTCTTAAAAAATAGGTTAAGGGAGACATTTAAGCAAAATCCTTTGGTAGACGCGCATAATTCGGACGAGGACAGTGATAGTGATAATCTAGATAAGGTTTTGGAAGCTAAACCCCATAGTTACATATCTGACACTTCTGATAGTACCACATCGTCTGACGACTTAGATAATACTGTAATCCCTTCTGATAATAAGACAGACACGCCCGCAACTGATAAGCCATCTACATCAGCGGAAGCGTCTAAATTTTCCGAAAGTAATAAAAAAAGTCCTGAGGCAGGACGATTCATAAGCGGCGCACCAAAAGTAAAAATGAGTATTACACCGCAAAGTTTCTCCGGTCGGATGACCGAAGATGTTAACGAGTATTTTAAGGATTTCGAAAGAATCTCGGCCGCAAATGTATGGGGTGACAGCCAAAAATTAATCATGTTCCCACTGTATCTTAGGGAAGAGGCGAAAATTTTATTTGAGAAGATAGAGAGTGAAACTGGGAGCTTAACTTGGTCAATTTTAAAAAAGGTGTTCGCGGATTACTATGATTCCGAGGAACAACGCGCGCTTTTGAGAGAGAATCTGAATAGGAGGAAAAAACGGCCAGAGGAATCATTACAGAGTTATATTTTGAGAGTGCTGGGAGAGTGTAAGCGAGTGGATGAAAATATGAGCCAGAAAGATATCAGTAAGATAATTATGAAAGGATTCCCTCAGGAAGTGTATTGGAGAATATATGCCATGGATAACTCTACGGTCGACAAGATAACAGCGAATATTAGGACATATGAAGCGGACATGGTAGCAATAAATAATAATGAAAGCGAAATTGAAATTTTAAGGAAAGAGATTGAGAAACTCAGGGTCGGCAGAGAAAGCAATAGCAGTGATGAGGTAAGACAGTTGAAGGAAGAGCTTGAGAGGGTCAAAGCAAGCATAAATAACAGACCATTTAGAAATAATGGTAATTTTAGAGGCAACTCTAATAATACTGGTAACTTTAGGGGCAATCCTAATAATAATAGTAACAATACTAGGGACCGCAATTATAACAATTATAATAGGGCTAGCGATAACAATTCCAGAAATAGGAACTACAACAATAACAACAGATATAATGGTAATAATTTTAGGAACCGCAATTTTAACAATAACAATAATTCAGATAACAGTAACAGGCCTAGAGATGACGATAACGGTAATAATAACCGGAATCGTAATTACAATAACAATAATAATGGTAATAATAACAGATCTAGCGGTAATAGCGGCGGTAGGAATTACAATAATCGTAATAATAACAACGAAAATTATAGGGATACAAGACGCGATAATGGAGACGATAGGGGTAGAAACAGAAATTTTTCGGATAGTCATGAGGATGACTTTGATAGGCGCAATTCAAAAAACTATAACTCGCGTTTTAAGAACAATGACAGGAGAGACGATAGAGATAATAACTCGGGCGATCAGCAAAGCAACGCAAAAAACTAATGGGTCAAAACCCGGAAGCCAGGTCGAGTTTTGATACCAAACATTCTCAAAAACCTGACTTTAATGTAAATCAAGCAACTTTAGATAACCCCCCCCAAATAGAGCGCATAAGTAGTTGTATATTTAATGATGTAAATTATATAGGGAAAGACCCAGTAATAATAGGCAGTCTAAATAATGTATTATATAAGTTTGTTTTGGACAGTGGAGCGAGCGTCAGTGTTGTTAGTGATAAGATACTTCCAAAAGAACAAGTAATTAAATCCTATGGCGCGACACAATTATATGCTGCTAATGGAGAAAAATTAAAATTGATTGGTAGAACAGTCATAGAAGTATATTTCAACGGTATACTTGTAAAAATACAATGCGCGGTCGTCCAAAATTTGAATTGTAACAGTCTTTTAGGGGTGGACTTTTTAAATAAATTTAAGGGAATTATTAATTTCGCTGATTCTAAAATAGAACTTAATGTTAATGATGAAAAAATACAAATCAATTTTCTTAGCGGTAACGACAATACAGTTAACACCGTTGTAAATGAGATGAACAATTCAAATTTCGATGACAGGGAAAAAATACAAGAAATGGCAACATCGGCCTGTGTATTAGCGCAAATCCCTCGCGACGGTTATTGTGGAGTCAATGCACTCGTTAGCGTATTAAATGAGCAGTATGTAGAAGTTAGTTCTCACGATATTATGGAATTATTGGAAATACAGTTTGAAAAAACTGCCGTGTGGTTAGAAGCAGAAGATCTCGCTGCAGTAGCCGATTTTTTTAATTATAACTTAATTGTTATATCGAAATCCGATAGGGCATATGAAGAAGGTACCATTGCCTTTTCAAAACCAAATCGCAATTACGTTATGATATTGTTCTCACACCGTCATTGGACACCTCTTATGTTCAAACCCGACGCTAATAAAATTAATGAATTTCAAACGATAACTATAATAAATGATTACGATGATTTAACCGTCAGAAAGCAAATATTAAAACAACGAATTAAAAATCATGACTACACTTGTGAGAACAATATTGTAAGTGGTAACGGTCCAGACGAAATTCGACACGGCGATTGTACTCAGGACGCGCGCGTCACAGAGCAGGCGCTAACGGTCAGTAATAAATTCCGCGAACGGGCCCCACGCGATGAAAGTGTTCCCAACATAGAATTTGATATCAACCCGGCGCTATCCGATTTACAATATAAAAAAATGCATGTCCTTTTAACCAAATATAGCGCAATTTTTTCTAAATCTAAGTATGATTTAGGGGAAGTGAGAATCAAACCCGTTGAATTTAAATTATCAAGTGATAGGATAATTAACATCCCTAATTTTAAGTTAAGCCGCGTCGAAAGAGATGAAGTTGAAAGACAGACACAGGAATTACTAAAAGCCGGTATTATTGAAAAATCAAATAGTCCATATTCTAATCCTGTATTTTTAGTAGGTAAAAATATGCCCCAAGGTAATAAGCATGCGTCAATCCCGCGAGAATATCGAATGGTTTTAGACTATAGACAACTTAATTCTATTATTTATAAGGAAAGTTTTCCAGTGCCGCTGATTCAAAATATTTACGATACATTAGGCGGAAACCAATACTTTTCATGTATGGACGCAAACGCAGGTTATTATCAAATACCGTTGGCCGAAAACTCGCGAGCTTTTACCGCATATTCGACAGCAACGGGCCATTATGCTTTTCGCGTGTTACCAATGGGAATATGTAATGCAGTAGAAATCTATCAAGGCGCAGCGTGTAGAATACTAGCAGGTTTAATGTATAAGCATGTAGTGAATTATATCGACGACACCGTCGCCTACGGGAAAACTTTTGATGACCATTTGATTTCGTTAGAATTAACTTTTGAGCGCTTCTTAAAGTATAATTTAAAACTAAAGCCTTCCAAATGTAAGTTCGGCTATCAAGAAATAAAAATTTTAGGCAATATTATTGACACTAGGGGTATCAGACCGACTGATGAAGGACTAGAGTCGATAAGAAAGTTTCCCACCCCGCGCACAATTAAGCAGCTAAGATCATTTTTGGGCCTCGCCAACTTCTTTCGTAGATTCGTGGTTAGCTATAGTAAGATAGCTAAGCCATTAACTGACCTAACTAAGGGAACTTTTAAAAATAAAAAATCGCCTATAGCGTGGAAACACGAGCACGACTTAGCTTTTCAGGAACTTAAAGATAAATTGACAAGCAAACCGGTTCTCGCGCATTTCGATGAAAGCTGTCAAACCATTATTATTTCAGATGGTTCTAAGTTAGGGCTAGGGACTATCTTAAGCCAAAGGAATTCAAATAATGAAATACACCCTGTGGCATATGCTTCAAAAAAGTTAAGCGCGTCAGAACATAATTATAGCGCCATGGAAATTGAGGTTTTAGCGCTACACTTTGCTTTTACAACTTTTCGCCAGTACGTTCACGGGAGAAAAGTCGAGGTCTGGACTGACCATAAGAACTTAACGGGTTTACTTAAGATAAAAACAGAGTCGGATGTGGTGAAGCGATTAAAAACAAAATTAATGGGCTATGACATTAATATTATATATAAACAAGGCATTTTTAATAGGGCTGCAGATCATCTTTCACGTTATCCTTGCGACGATAAATTAGGTTTAGAAGACAATAATGAATTTGACGACATTTTAGATGTTAATTTAGTTCAACCTATAAATATAGAATCTAATCAGGCTAATGATGCATATTTACAGCATATTATAACAGCCGTTAGGTACCCTGATCTAAGCGATCAAAAATGGTTGAGTAAAGCTAAGAATTACTTATTTAAGAATAACAACGTTTTATACTATA